ACCGGTCGAGCACAGAAAATGCCTGCTGAAGGATTGCAGAAAGGTTGATACCGAAACGTCATTATCAGAGGTTCACGCCGAAGACGAGGGCAGAAAAAGAACTAAACAAGGGAAAACTACAGAGTGATCAACATATCCTGGAAGTGCTTGCACATGCTAAATGCACATGATTGCGCATAAAATGGATTTGCAACTTTTGGGACCAAGTCAGTTTAGGCGACCCAGGTGAAGTCACAAGTTCACAGGACTGGATTACCAAAAAAGTACGTAACCTTCTCTCACGTTCGCTCACTGGACCTCATACCTTCAAACTTAGCATATAATCATCCCAAACACATTAGCTCAACCGGCAGGCTGAACACTACGACAACGAGTAGCAATCGTCATGAAATCCAAATTTCTACTCGACAGAGTGACAAGGATCTAACTCCCCACTTTCAGTTGACGGCTTGCGTCGCCTGTAGCTCAGCATTCGACTTATGGGTATTGTAATCCCGATTCATATTTTGAATTATTGCTGCTGCTTTCTGAGCAGCTTGCGCCATCCGCAACTAAAACCTTAGACCTGTTATCAATGGTGATGTTTACTGTTTGTTTAAACTCCAAACATGTCTGGCACTCTCTAATAAACCAATTAACATTGTAAATAGAGCGGACAAAATACATTTAGGGACAGGAGTTGACTCCTTAGACCTATCGGCATTCATATCAACACGCCAACAATAGCCAACGTCCCAGAGGAGAGGACCAAAAATTCCGTTATCTGAGAAGTGCCCGCAGAGGAGAATGTTTTGCAGTTATGAGGGACCAACGAGAGACAGGCGAGAAAGATTTCGGCACGATCTCTCTCCTGGTTACAGCTTATGTCGGCGTAAAGTAGTTCTGTCGTGTGCTTGTGCTATGAAATGAATAAATCTGGGTGATGCGGTGTTGCAGAGAGCGTTCTTCTGACACTTTGCCCATTGCGTGTCCAAAGTGGCGAGCGCAGCATCGGCGACTTGCACGTGAATAAATTCACAGTCGGTTAGACTTGCACAGCATTTAGCTTACTCGCCCTTCTTTCACTGACCCTGCACTGAGGACAACCGTCTGGGTGCAGTGGCTGGCAAAGATAGACAGCCTGCCTACGCGTGCCCCACACAAGCTGGTGTGTGCGGCATGTACACTGCTTTCACAGAGGATGGCTCAAATATCGCTTACGCAAGCTTGACCCTCAACCCCCCCCCCACAGTATTTGGCAAGTGCAATACCAAGCTATCGCGTCAGTTGCTCACCCTCCATATCCCTACTTTTAACGCGTCATGATAAATTCAATCGCGTCACCCACCACGCTCCGACAGCCAGACATCTGGAAGTGGGCATGGGCACATCGGCTAACAAAGTCAACCATTCCGTCTACGCGGGCCACACACGATCCAGTTTTCAGCACATGCATCAAACTACTGGCTGATTAGCTCGTATCTTGCAGCCTCCGAAGCCACGAATCTTTGCACATTGCGACCGTTTAAAAGCGGGTGAGAAGTACGCTAGTATCGGCGTCTCCCCCCGCACCCGTCGGCTTTTCGGACGTATTCGATAGCTGGCGAGAATATTCTGCTGGTTTCTCGGAGCAAGAATAAATAATGTCGTATCGATCTCCCAAGCCCTATTTGTGTATTCATTGCCAAAGGTGCAGGTTGTAAAACACTTCGCGGTGTTCGTGTCCGGCTTGCAGGTAAGTTACATTGTTGTATGTGTGAAACTGTCAGTCCAGCTATAGGCGCCAATAGCGTACACACACACACACACGCAACCTGCACGCAATCGCCTTCGTTACGGAGACAGGAAAAACTGATGTTTACTCTACAATCGGCTCCAGCCAGCCAGCTGGACGCACTAGCGTAATGTAAGTGCAACGAGTTTGCACACGTGGTTGCAGACTAGTCACCACCGGAAGCAGGCTGAAAAACTTTGGAGGTCTCACTGAGATGCTTGTCAGTTTATAATTTCACCTTCCCATAAATATCCTTTTTTGGATAAACAATTATGAAAAGAAGTAGACTATTAATCGTAAAACCGACGCCTCTCACAGAGTAGCAATTATACCCC